TCATTTCCTGATCACATACTGCTGGTAACACCCAAATAAGCCTTTACCGGCTTCTTACCCATGTTACAATTCATATCTCCTGTCTACAGAACCTCTCCATTCCGAGCCTGCCACCTCAGCGGGCATCTAAATTATTGTACTGAGGTGCAATCTATTGATCTGTGAAATAGAGTGGTTAAGCTTGATGATTTTTATTCTATGACTTTAGGATTTTTAAGCCTGAAAGCGAACATTATTTTACCTCTAAACCAGGTAGCTCACCGTTCTTTGATCCTTTTAACTTGTGTCTTTATATTTAAAGCGGGTTTTTCATAAGCATATAGCTTTTTTAAAAAAATACAATTTGACAGGGGCCCATGGGTGGGTCAGTCGGTGCAGCGGCTGCCTTCGGCTCAGGTCATGATCTCAGGGTCCTGGGATTGAGCCTGCTCAGTGGGGGGGGCCTGCTTCTCCCTCTCCCTCACTGCTCCCCCTGCTTGTGCTCTCTCGCTCTCTCTCTAATAAATAAAATCTTTAAAAAAAAATTGACAATTGCAGCCTTTTAGTTGGGGCTTTTAGGATATATATATAATATATATGTATATGTAATTTATTTTTAGTGTTGGGGGGGCAGAGGGAGAGAGAGAATCCCAAGCAGACTCCATGCCTGGCATGGAGCCCAACATGGGGCTTGATCCACACAACCCGGAGATCATGACCTGAGCCAAAATCAGGATTGGATGCTCAACTGACTGCGTCACTCAGGTGCCCCTAGGTCATTTATATTTAATGCAATTATTGATATGGTTGGGTTTAAAGCTTCCGCTTGCTGTTTGTTTTTTATTTTCCTATCTGTTCTTTTGTTCCATTTGTTTTTCTGTCCTCTTTTTTTTTTTTTTAAGATTTTATTTATTTGACAGAGAGAGACACAGCGAGGGGACACAGGCAGGGGGAGTGGGAGAGGCAGAAGCAGACTCCCCACCGAGCAGGGAGCCCGATGTGGGGCTCGATTCCAGGACCCTGGGATCATGACCTGAGCCGAAGGCAGACGCTTAACTGACTGAGCCACCCAGGCGCCCCTGTCTTTTGTTTTTTTAATTCTAGTTTATCTCCTTTTTTTTCATTAGCTGTAACTCCACTGTATATTTTCAGTGGTTTTTAAAAAATGTTTATAGTATACATCTTCAACTTATTAAAATCTATGCTGAAGTGCTATTTTACCATTATACATAAGGTAAAAAGAACCTTGCAAAAATCTTCCGATCTTTGTGCTACATTTTCATGTGAGTTTTACTTCTACATGTTACAAATCTTATAACAACATTGTTACTATTTTTGCTCTAAACATAGTTGTTAATTTGGCTCTTTGTTCCTTTGTGTAGATGCAGATTCCCATCTGGCATACTTTTCCATCTGCTTGAAGGACTTCCTTTAACATTTCTTACGGTATCAGGTCGGCTGGTGATGAATTCTTTTAGCTTTTCTGTGTCTGAAAGTCTTTATTTCATGTTTGTTTTTGAAAAATATTGTATCTGAGTATTCTAGTTTGACAGTTTTATTTTTTCTAGTACTGGTTTTTTGTTTCACATTGTGTCTGACAGGAAGTCTGCTTTCTCTTCTTTGTTCCTCTTTCCATAATAGGTCTTTTTTTCTGTGGCTGATTTTATTTATTTTTTTTATTTTTAAAGATTTTATTTACTTATTTGATAGAGACACAGCGCGAGAGGGAACACAAGCAGGGAGAGTGGGAGAGAGAGGGAGAAGCAGGCTTCCCGCGGAGCAGGGAACCCAACGCGGGGCTCCATCCCAGGACCCTGGGATCATGACCTGAGCTGAAGGCAGATGCTTAACGACTGAGCCACCCAGGCGCCCCTTTGTGGCTTATTTTAAATTGCTGTTTTATCACTGATTTTATTTTTTACCATTGATTTAAAAGCAATTACATTTAATATGCCTTGATATCTTTTTCTTCATGTCTCTTGACCCTGGAATTTGTTAAACATTATGGGTCTGTTGATTTATGGTTTCTAGCAAATTTAGAAATATTCTAGCCCTCATATCTTTGAGTGTCTCTCCCCACCTCAACTTCCTCAGGCACTCTGGGCAAACACTGGGCTGCTTGACATTGTCCTTTAGCTCATTTGATGCACTGTCCATCTTTTCTCAGCAGTTTTTTTGTTTCATTTTGGATAGTTTCTATCACTATGTCTTCAAGTTCACGATCCTTTCCTTCTGCAATGTCTCATCTAATTCTATCCAGTGCGTTTTTCTTCTCAGAAATTGTAGTTTTCATTTCAAGATGTCAGAGTTGTGCTATTTTATACCACTCACCTCTCCACTTAACATATTTAATCTTTCCTCCAGCTTTCTGAACATACAATATAGAGTTATTATAACTGTTTCAATGTCCTTGTCTACTAATTCTATCACCTCTGCCATTTCTGGTGTCAACTGACTTTTTTCTCCTCGTTAAGGGTCGTATTTTCCCTCATATTTGCATTCAGGAAAACTTCTGAATGGATGCTACTAGATACTGTGAATATCACGCCATGTTGCTGAATGCCCATTTTGTATTCCTATTAATATTTTCAAACTTTGTTCTGGGACATCGTTGAATTACTCAGTTATCCTTCTGAATAATTAAGTTTTGTTACACAGGACCCAGTAAGTTTCCACTACTGAGGCAAAACTTCTGAATACTCTACCCGCTGACCCAGGAATCATGAGTTTTCACTAGGGCTGGCTGGAAAGGGCGAGACTTCCGTAGGAGGTTCGATCGTTCTAACACTTCCAGGTGGCTCTTTCGCGGGCCTGAGCAGTTTTCTCACATGCTTGATCTCTGCAGATCTTTGAGGCTTTCGTAAAGCTCTCTCCCCTCCAGACTCTAGCTGTCTTCATCTCCCTGGTCTCTCAGCTCTGGCTCCTTAATGAGGGTGAACACCAGGTTCTATTTGGGTTCCCCCTCCCTGTGCCACAGCCTGGAAACTCTCTCAACGGAAATAGCTGGGTCGATCGTAGGATTTATTTCCTTTGTTTTCTCTCAGGGTTCACTGTCCTCCATTGACTGATAGCCAATGTCCTGAGAACATTTCATCAAAATGAAAACATCGCATGCATCTGTTATTTCACATATTTGTCTATTTTTGTTTGTTTGAGGTGGGTAACTCTGGAACTTGTTATCCGTGTTAGATCGAAGTGGAAGTCTCGATATGCGAGCTGAAACCTGAATCACATGCTCATCCTTTTAGAGTGCATGTCCCACTCCCGGTATCTTGTTGATCCATCCTTTGAAATGTCTCTCAAATATACTCCTTTCACCCTTTTTGATCCTGAAAAGATCTCTGACAAGATCTTCGTGGCTCTAGCATTCGACCAGCCCACAAATTTTTTTTTCTTTTTTTTTTTTTTTACTGTTTCCCCTAGAATCTGATGTACAGTAGCGCTCAACAAAGTTGCTAAATTAATGAATTGGCTCTTCTTTTAGACACAACTTACTAGTATTTCTTTGGCTTGTAAAGCCTCTTAATCGCTCCCGTCTAACCACAAGTCAAGTCCAAGCTGAGGCTACTGATCTGTGCTTTACATAACCCGCTATTCGTCAGCCTATGTGAGTCCTACCACTCCCTAGAATAAATGGTGTTTTTTAAATTTTTTTATTTTATATATTTATTTAAGTAAACTCTACCCCCAATGCGGGGCTTGAACTCATGACCCCGAGATCAAGAGTCGCACGCTCCCCAACTGAGCCGGCCGGGTGCCCCGCTAAGTGGTGCATTTTTAACATATGTCTTATAGTCACTACTAGCTTACAAGCCTTTTCTCACATGTTCCTTCCTAAAAGATCATTTCCATTCTGCCTCTTAAATTTTATCCATCCCCAAATCCTCAAAAGGTCTTTCCTTCTCCTATTTATGCAAAACTCACCTTTCCTTGAATTCCTATGGCAGCTACTGTCTGTGCTTGCTTGAGCACTTTCATTGTTCCTCTGTGGGTGTGCTTTTTACGGTTTTGTGGGTCTTACATTTTGTCTTTCCAAAATGGACCAAAATCTCGGGAGAAGTAGGAACCACCTTTTACAATTCTTTCATAGGTCTTAAGACACAGTGGGTACTGCGACAGACTTAAAAACGAAGGCAGAGACCACTGTGATTAATGTATGCATTCTACTGGGCTCACTTATTTACAGTAAACTGGTGTCTCACTCATCACGTTATTTTTGTTGCCCACACTGTGAAATGATTCTGTTGGTGAAAACCACTTCACAAAAGGTCTTTTTTTTTTTTTTTAAAGTAAATTCTACTCCCAATGTGGGGCTCAAACTCACGATCTCGAGATCAAGAGTCGCATGCTCCACCGACTGAGCCAGCGGGGTGCCCCAAGGTCTTACAGGTTTTAAATCAAATCCTACCTTAGACAATATTATTGGGTCAAGATTCTTGAGTATACTTCATTTTATTATTTGTCAAATTTTTATTTATCAAATTCAATACTATATCCTCGTCTCTACAAAATAATGAATTTTAGGGATGTTATGTCAAATAATATTTAAACAAAACCAAGGAAACCCTGATATCACATAGCCAGTGAATATAAGTGGTATTTATTTACGCAAACATATTGTAAAATTCCTCTAACTCTTCTAAAAATAGTTATGTTGTCATATAAAATGGGAAAATCTGAAGTGCATATCAAGATTTCATTTTTAGTTTATAAAATATATTGAGGTAAAATTCCTTGCCACAAACATGTAAGAGTTAACCAGAGTGAGAAAATGTAAAAAAACCCCAAAAACCCAAAAAACCAAACCATCAGTTTCTACGTTGGAAAAGGCATGATGGCAATTTTTTTTTTTAAGTGTTTTGATGCTAGGAATTCCCATAAAAAGAGTCAATTTTTCTTATCATGACGACATTTTGAAAACCCACATAGCTTCACCCCCTGCCAACTAAATTTAGAACACATGAAATAAACTCCCCATACAGAATACTTTTGTGCTAAAAAACAGGTAATTCACATTCTGATAAAGAGCAGAAGACAAGTGCTTTATTATGAGAACTGTTCAAGTAAAATTTCAGTGTGCACCAGTGAAAGTGAATAAAGATTTGCATCAATTTTTCTGAATGAACACTAGGTTAAAAAGGGGCTACACAGTTTTTTTTTTCCAAACACCATCCTTTGCTAAGGCAAAAATACACTTCATTTTAGAACAGAACTGTTACAGAGGAAAGCTACGTCACAGTACAGTACAGAATGTAAAATTCACCCTAGTCTGGATGCCATTACGGAATGGCACATCACCTACACGTAGAGCTTTCTGATGTAGGTTAGAATTACAGTATTTATCACAGCTTTATTCTCCTTTGAACTGATAAAATTTGAATACCCTTTTCCACTTCTCAGGAGTGTGCAGATGGGGCCCATATGTTGATATTACAGTAATTACAACATTAAATAACATTGCACAGTCAACCTCCAAGGCTAATTCAGTAAAAAATAACAAGTATTAAAATGTACCTTTCCTAGTGGTTTTACATCGCATATATCACTAATTATGAAAGAAAAGGAGGCAAATGCCCAATTACAAAGCTGCACATTATAGGCATAACAGTGTGGAATAAATACAAGAAATCTGGCAAAATATTAAAAACAAACATGTTACATGGGAACAAACTCAACAACCACGTAAGCGTAAATCAATAATACACTGTTATAAATAGTAGGTTTTGCTCAAAAGTCTCCTAAGTACTTACAGATATTACTGTGTCGGGGGCAGGTGAAAAGGATGGGAGGAGAATAGGCAAATGTTCCCAATGCCAGTTAGTTCCTGAGGTGGCATTATTTCTTAACTGATGCATTGATCAACACTGTAAAGATGAGTTTGTGCTATGAGACAGTCCCGATATTCTATTTCCGCAATTACATTGCGGTATTCAGAAGGCAGCAAACCTAAGTGACAGTTTACATTTATAATAGCCAGATGGAGTGTTGATTCTTTTTAATTTTGCTGCTACATTTAGCAGTGGGCCAGAAAACACTTTAAAGTTTAAAAGAAATGTGATACAGGTTTAACTTTTTCCCCAGTACTTCTTAGCTCAAGGCAAAGCTATTAATATTTTGATGTAGTTCATTTTAAAAACTCTAAGTGCCAACACTGTAAACATTTTGTATTTTCTCAACTACACCTTGTCTGAGAACAAGGAGAAGAGCATAGGTAAGCAGGAATAATTCTGTGTACAGTAAAGCTGATCTATTTATCAGCTCCTGGTTTAAATTTAAATAGGATTTAAAAATAATTTTTAGAAGTCCATGCTACAACTTTAAAGACTATTTCTGTGCACTTTTAATTCTGGACACAATTTTCAAAATTGCATGATGGAGGTAAGAATTTAAAAAACCCACCAGAATGTAAATAACAGGGAAGAACATCTCCAACTGAAAGTGTCAAACATACATTTATGTGCAGAAATCTAGACAACTATACAAGTTCTTTAAGCAATCATCTGTTTTATTATACAACTCTATGAACAGAAAATGAACAGAAATACACAATATACTTACCTGTACATGTGAAACCTACTTTTTTAGCTACAGGTATTTAGTATACTTCACACGGACTTGAGTTGTCCAGTCCCTAACTATGTATGTCCTTATTGCATGAAGGGCGAATTCTACATGGGGGGAGACTCACAGGCCAATCACCTTAGGCATTACCAATACATTCAAAACTGTACCTCATATGTGAATGTATCTTCCCTGATCCTGTAAATTTGAGTTTCTTTACAGCTTAAGCTCATTCGCTATTTTAGATGCAATGTTCTTAAAGGCAATAGATGTCCCAGATATTCGCTTGAAGCGGACCCCGTTCAGTGACAGCCGCGGCAACTTGCAGACCTCCATCTCCCACTGCACGAGGCTGTCCTGTCTAGCATCTCCGTGGACACAGAAAAGCAAAAACCTCTCTTTTTGTTCATAATCACAGTTATTTGCATCTAACACTTTCCGGATTTCTCTCATCATGTCATTGGGGTCCATTGAACTAGTGGTCTTCATACTCCACGTGAACCGCAAAGAACGTGGCTTAGAATCTTTACCCTCTTCCTTGTCTCTTTCTTTTGGTTCCCCTGACGTACTTCTAGAAGGGGAGGGCAAAGGGAGAGAATGGAAACAAAAATTCCATTCAGCAAACAAGTCAAAGCACACATGAAATCTAAGTGGTCATCGCTCAGTGTCTAATGAAACTACCCAATTTACACACTACCTTCAGGTAATTACAAACATTTGTGTCACCTTGCTGTCCCCAAAACAGACCCCAGGACACCACCTGCCTTGGCTTTGTTTGTGGGAAACAAGTTTACAGCTGAAAGTGAAGAACTTAACACTTTGTCAGTTCCCTGCAGAAGCAGATTCTCCATTTCCTGTACATTTACACAAACAGAAACCGCTAGCATTCTACTTACAAATACACATTTTAAAAAATACAAATTTCCCTTTTTTTCCCTACCTTTTTTGGGTAGCAAAAGGACTGGGGGCAAGGCTAGTAGGAATGGCTACAGGGGGATTATTTACACCTGATCATGCTGACAAAGGATGTTGTATTGCAAGGAGGTAAAGGCATCAGGTCATAGCACGCGTGAAAGTGTAGACGTCAGGCCCTCTCGGGGTTTCATCATTTTGCTAAAGACATCCTTAACGTAGTCTGCCAGGCTCCATGTGACCCATACCCCCACTCCTACCTCCAACCCCTCATCTCGTAACTATCTTCCTCCCTGCTTCCTCCTCTCAAGACACACTGGCCTCCACGCTGTTCCTCAGAATGTGTGGGCTGTGTTGCTTTCAGGCTCTCCCCTCAGGGAGCTGCACGGCTCACGCCCTTACTTCCTTCAGATCTCTGCTCACTTTCTGCCTGCGGTCTAGCCTGACCACCCTCGGGCCCCCCAGCACCCCCCTAACCCTGCTCTAGTGCTTCCTCTACGGCACTTGCTACGTTCTAATATAGTATCTTTTCCCTAAGATACCATTTAATTCATTTATGTATTACGGTTATTACGTACTGTCTGACTCTACCACTAGACTGTAAATTCTAGGAGACCAAAGGGTTTTATCTGTTTTGCTCACTGGTCTATCTCAGGACTCTAGAACTGTGCTGGGCACACGGGAGCTGACGGACACATGTTTGTTAAGCGAATCAACCTTACTGAACTGTCCTTATTTTAAGTCTCCCATAAATAATATAGAACCAGAAAACCTATTTCAAATAATCACAGAAAGGTAAAATAGATTATTTATGATTCAGAAGACCCTGTAATTAAATTGGTGGAGCAATTTCCCAAATACAGATGTTGCAATTTTAACTTGTTAATCTAGCTCACTTATATGTGATTTAAAAAAAAAAATGATATACTTTGAAAGGAGTCTATAACCTATGATATAAACATTTTGTTTATATGTATATATGTATTCATATATACACTGTATGTCAATATTATCATGTAATGCATATTTGCACATATATTTGTATATATGAATTTTTATGTATACATTTATATATATATTTTCCTCCTCCTTCCTAGGTACCTGAGCCCAGAGTTCTGCAAACTATGCAAGTTTAAGAAACTTAGAAAGGAAGAAGTAGAGAAAATAAATTTCTAAGACAGTGTTTATTTCACTGTCTTCTCTATCATTTTCTTTTTGCTCACGGACGCTAAGCCATCGCATCACAGGCGTCCTTGGGCATGCAGATCTCATGAGAGTCGTTTATCAGAACCACACGTACAACCCTGGGTATGGAATCGGCATGCCAGGGCTGGAGGGGACCCAAGAGAACACGTGACTGAACCCTCATTTTAAAAACAGAACTGATGGCTTTACTTTTTCTAAGGTCATAGCTAATGAGCTGAAATGCAAAAACCAGGAATCAGTTTTTCTTCCATTCCACCAAGGTCACCGGGTGACCTTGAGATGACAGGCACATACAAGATGTTTTTCTACATGTACCTCAAAGGCATCACCACTGGTGACATTAACTGTAGAAAGCTCCTGAAAATGTTAATACTAATTGTAACAGCGAACATTTACTGGGCACTTACTAAGTGCCAGGAACTGTTCCCAGCACCTAACATGCATTATTTCCTCATTTACCCTAACGACTCCGGAGCTAGAGCAACTTCCTAAGGTCACACAGCGAGGCAAGTGGTAGGACACGGCTCAAACGCTGGCGTCTGGCTCGAGAGCCCCAGTCACGCCCCTGACATGACAGGACCTCCTGCTCCTTACTGTTCTTCAATTGCAGAATGGACACTTTCCACCTGGCTGTTGCGAGAACTGAATGACCAGCTAGTTACAGGCAGGAGGCATTCAATAAGTTTGTTGAAAGGCAAAAAGAAAAAAAAGAAAGAAAACAAAACCCAGCAACAACAAAAGAAAGGGACACACAGGCCCGTGGAAAGGACAGAGTAGAGATAGGTGGCCCACCTGTAGCACTCACTGTACTATTATTACGTGTCTCAGAGGGAAATTTAGTGGGAAGGCAGCATGAGACCCAAGAGGCTCCAAAGTGACGACTGAGTGAGGGAGGGGCTAAAAACAAATGTCCTTCATGTTTATTTGACAGGCAGAAGGAAAGTTACAAATATTTGTCCTGCCTCCCCCCCTGGCTGCCTACCATGGTGACTCGGGCACCTAACTCAATAGAGAAACATTTCAACTATTATGACCAAACAAATATAGCACAGTTTGCAAAATAGATTACCCAGGAATGCTTAATAAAGTTTTTGCAAAGCTCATTATGTTTTATATTTTAATTAATTTTAAGAGGTAGAAATTAAATTGGGGCTTGTGCTCAGCGGTTCAAAAATCGTTCCTGAATGAAGCTGGAGCATCTGTCCTACTGAGGAGCTGCTTGCCCAGGTTCTGTGATTCATACGGGATCTTTTCACGCTGGTATACATTCCAAATAATGTAATGCCTTCCTTTCTTCAACTTCCCGTTTGTTAACATGAACACAAGTACTAACATGTCACTGATGTGGTCCCCTGACCAGCAGCATCAGCACCTCACGCAGCCACGTCCATCCCAACCACGAACCCTGGCGGGGGGCGCCCACCTGATTCTGACTGGGCTTGTGTTGGAGACCCGCCATCAGGAGGAATACACAACCACCACTGCATGCCAAGAACCATCAAGTAAGGCAGGGCGAGAGTCTTAAAATGTCGTCCACCACTGAACACTCCCAAAATATATTCCTAATATCAAACCTTCCTACATTTTTGGTCACCTCTGTGTTCAGTGTTACCTAATTCCAGTTATATCCTTTTAGTGAGAAAAGGATCAGTACATTTTAATCCATTAATTCTTCTGCTAGGACGTATTTTATAGGACAGGAAGGCTGCTTCTCTATGAAGCATACCAGTCAAAATAATGTTTAGAAAACACAAACTTCAAGTTAATTAACTCACACTTCATTAAGCGCTCGGCAACATTAAGAAAACCCATCCCGAGATAAAAACGTAAAATACACATACTGTCTAGTTTTTAGCTCTATTCAGATTTATTAGGTCCTGCACGTCTTTGGAGGGCACGTTTGCACACACGGGGGCCCTAGTGGCGAAGTGTTCATAGTGGCTCCTCACCTTGAGGGGTCTGTGCGGCCACTCGCTTCGCCTTCACTTGGATCCCTCAAAACAAAGTGGAGGTTGAGATTTAATGATAAGAGTGAAAAGTATACCAAGAAAACCTACATCTAAAATGATGTTAAAGTTAACGTGTTAAGCAAACTTCTAACACGACACTTTTCTGTTACTAGTCAGTCTGACACTGCTTTGCACGTTTTCATTGTAACCAGCTTAACTGTCATTTTATTGAGCGTCTACTGGGTCTTGTCAGAGAGGAGATGCTAGGTTGACGGTTTAGGATTTTTTTTTTTTTTTTAAACAGGATCTTCCAATTCCCAGTCATAATTTCAAAGTCAGAATTTATCTTTTGATTGAGTTTAGTTCAATCTACAGTTAAAACTATTTAATAATTTTCAGCAGCAAGATCCAACTTCGTATGTCATTAAATGTAATTCTAGTAGTCGCTCAATTTAGAAAATACATAACTTAACCTTGTCATTAGAAATAAAGTTCAACATATACAAGTGTTTCTAAAAATAAGTACCAATTTTTAAATAAGCAATTAACTTCAGATGTAACACTAACGATTCATGCACATGATAAAATGTTACAGCACACCAACAACCTATCCAAGCAGGTGAGTCTAAAAACACGAAATCAATCTTAAGCAGAAACATTGATCTTACCTGGACATCCACCTGTGAAATAAAACCAGGAAAACTCTACTAATTGTCCTTCTGTTGAACGTCATTAATATTTTTTAAGTCTACCAAAATCTTAACTACTTCGTCATTTTTCAAATGTAATTAAATATTGACACAGAGCATCAAGTTATAAACCAGTTTAAATGCATTAAGAAATGGCATGTGAGAGCAAAATACTATTAAATCGCTGGGAAAAAATAACCAACTCAAACGCTGAAGTTAATGTTTTCTTAATGTTCTAACCATTCCAGAAACATTCATGTTATTTATGTAAAGTGAATGCAATGGGAATAAAATCAGGGCCACTCTCCTCATTCCCCAAATTAACGAAACACATCCATACACTGAGCTCTACAACTTGACTGGAGGTTAGAAATATGAATGCCTTCTGCATCTTAGGGTCTTTAACTAGAGGCCTTTCGGGACAAACATGTTGTGTAAAAACCATTTTCCTCTCTGAATCAAAAAGGACAAATAATATGTATTCTCACATTCAAATGGGGGTTTCTTAATTCTTAAATGGCATTTTCACGGGCAAGTGTAGTAATTCAGTGTTATCTACACGAACCTATCTTTATGACAGCACGCGGCCATAAATAAGACACGGACACGTACACCGTGAGGCCTGTGCGGCTCTGCTGATGTCCCGGAGGGCAGCCCATCCGTGGGAAGGAAGGCCGGTAAGGCTGCTGCTTCAACAGAAAGGGGCGTGTGTCTCCCAGGGCTTCTCTGTCCCATTTCTCTTTTGCCGTCTAAGTCGCTGTTAGCAGACACTTTAAGCACTAGGAACGAAACACTCCCTAAGCTCTACTTCTGCTCTCGCTGTTGAAATAGCCACTGACTCGCCACGTCGTTCCCATGCCCCGTTCCTGCCCTCCCGGACGCCCACAGAAGCAGCGACTTGAAGAACGTCTGCTGCCTGGCACTGGTTTCAAATAGTCCAGCAGCCACAGAGGGAGGCAGCTGGGGAGAGAGAGCCCGCTGGCTGTCACAGCACATGCAGGCTGGCAGGGCCCCCCAACACTCAACACTTAAAAATCAAAACCATGGGGCGCCTGGGTGGCTCAGGCGTTAAGCGTCTGCCTTCAGCTCAGGTCATGATCCCAGGGTCCTGGGATCGAGCCCCGCATCGGACTCCCTGCTCCGCGGGAAGCCTGCTTCTCCCTCTCCCACTCCCCCTGCTTGTGTTCCCTCTCTTGCTGTGTCTCTCTCTGTCAAATAAATAAAATCTTTTAAAACAAAACAAAACAAAAAACGGCCACATATCTTATGCACAGCAATATATACTGAAGTGAACTAATCTGGTTATCCCCTAATAAGAGCGAGCTATGTTTAAAAAATCCTAAGGTCTGAGACAATCTCCAGTTGATACAGTAGTTCTATAGAACCATCCAAAGCAAATGGTTCTCCATGCTATTTAAAAGGCTTTTATTTTTTTTAAAGGCTTTTGAAATGGTATGTCTACACCCTCCCTTGATAGAGAACTCTAGTGTAAATCACTTTCCTAATTGGAAAGTTCTTTCCTAAGACCAGAAAACAACTCTCTCACGTGGTCATTTCAGCATCCAGCCTTTCTACTGGCCAAGGAGAACTTACTAACTGGCTTCCTCTTTGTAATAATGGTTTTCCAGTACATGAATGATTAACTCCAAATTATTCTTTATCCTTCCCTTCTTAAAGTTTAACAACCCAAATTCTTTTACTTTTTTCCCCTATAACATCCTATCTTTTCTTCTTTTTAAGCATTTAGTGGCACATCAACTCAGTTGGTTCTAAAGTTGATGGGGTGTCAGGGCACCTGCCCCAGAGCATTCCTGGAGGCGGCGCTGGTCACTCGGGGTGCCAGTGTGGGGGTTCCATTTCTTCAGGTGTGAGGCACAGTGCAGTGAGGAAGGCAAAGGGAACAGACAGAAAGGCAGGACTTGAACCCAGGATTGGCTTAAGAAGAGATCAGTGGGAAGGATGGACAATCTGGGAACTGAGGTGAGAAGAGAATAAATAATAAGGCTGGAATAGCTCTTGAACATCAAGAAATTCTCCCAGTTCTCTCCAAGCCTCCAACCCTCCCGAAAGTTCAATATGCCGAACATACGGGAAGACCCCCTGCACTTCCCGTCTGTCGGCTGCTAAGAACTTAGCAGGTTCATTCCTGGTATGGAAGCCAGCGCTTTGCTTGTCTTCCTGCATTGGGGCATTCGTGGTATCCTACACAACCCCCTCTCTAGCTACACGATGCTACGTAAGGGAGGACTGTGTGCGTGGCAGTGAGCACACACACACCTGTAAAGCCAAAGCTGTTCATGTGGTGACAGGTGACCTCAGAGGAGAACTGTGAATTGTTTCTCTTCTCTAACCAAACCCAGAATTAATTAAAATATGTTAAAAATTAAAAGACATTAAAAAAATCCTACCAAATTGCTGACAAAGGATGGCAACCTCCTCCCTGCCTTCTTCTGCCCCCAAAACTCTCTATGAAATGACATTGTTCAGAAGTTAATAAAGGCATCGTGGAACTTTAGAAATGTTCATGTTGGCTCCCCTCAGAGGCCAGCTCAGAACACCCTTAACCCCCAGAGTACTTTCTATCTCAGGGCCTGCTCCCTTCAGAGCACTTACCAGGATTTATTATAACCTTATGTGTTTGCTTTTAAAATCTGTCTTCCGCACTATTCAACCATTCATTCCATAAATGTCTGAATGTCATACGTGTCATTGCAGACACTCAATATTCAGCAGAAGATTTAGCAGAGAACAAACAGGTAAAGCGGGGGGGGGGCGGTTCTTTCAGGTAGTGTTAGGTGCTATGGAGAAAAACAAAGCAGGGAGAGGGCGTGCTGGAGAGGCTCTGATCTCACACAGGTGACGGAGGAAGGGACACTCCCACAAAGACACAAAGGAGGTGCAGAAGAAGTCAGTCGTGCGGGAGTGGGGGAAGGAACTGCAAACACAAAGCCCCGCACAGCAGGCCCAGTGTGCGCGAGGACACTCAGCTGCCCCATGTGGCCTGCGTGCGACCGACAAGGGGCAGGGGGAGAAGATGAGGTCAGAGCAGAAATGAACGGCCAGACCACGTGGGGCCGCAGAGGCCATTGTGCAGGCTTCGAATTGTATCCCGAGTGGGATAAAAGCAAGCAGAAGGCTTTCAAGCACGGACAGACACTGCTGAGCACAGAAGAGGACAAGGGCAGAAGTGAGGAGACCCGTTAGCAGGTGGAAGACAAGCAGTGGGTTTGGTGACAGAGGCTGCGGTGGGGGTGACAGAAGAAGTTACGTCCGGGAGATGCTGGGAAGGCAGAGCCAACGCCACAGCCCAGCAGGCCTGGCGCGTGGTCTGAGAAATAACTCGCTCGTGGTCTGAGAACGAGAAGGAAGGTGTCGCCATTACCTAATGCGGTGAACAATGAGGGAGGACTGGTGTCTGGGGGTGGGCAGTGGGGAGCTGGATTTTGGACACGGTCTGTCCGGAAGTCTATGACACAGCCGCGTGGAGACGCTGAGTAGACAACTGGCTATGTGAGTCTCTAGTTCAGAGGCAAGATCTGGGCTAAAGACAGATGTCTGGGAGTTGTTAAAGTAAGATGAATGTAAGGTCAAAGGTCTGAATGAGATCAGCAAGAGAGTGAGGACAGCCAGAGAAGAGAAAGTTCGAGCCAAAGCTCGAGCCCTGGGGCAGTCTGACACTTAGGGGTGGGGGCTGGGGGGGCAAAGGGAACCTGAAAAGAACCAGCAAAATGGCCTGAGATGGAACTGTTAGTTTGAGAGGTAGGAGGAAGACCAAAAGCCAAGCGAGCAAAATGTTTCAACGGTGTGTCATGCTGCGCAGGACGTGCTCCTAGGAAGGGGGCTCCATCCGTCTCCCTCACGGCCGGATCGACGGCACCAGGACAGCGCCCAGCAAGCAGTAGGTCCTCACAGATTTGTTACATGGCCCTATGGCCATCCTCCATCCCAGGCTCCCAACAGACTTTCTCCATGCCACGTTCTCGCTCTGACATTCTGTCCTGACCTCTTGTCCAGGGCTCTTGACTATGCTCCCTCTAGAATCTACATTTTCATTGCAAAGTAAAGAGAAATATGTTATATGCTGCTTAATGTACAATTAGTAATCAAGCTTTTAAACCCAAAACCATTTTCCTTCACTTCAAAATTAATCCTGGCTTCACCGTGATTAATTAATCCTGGCCTATCAAAAGGGCTTTGAATAGTCAGCCAAATTCCACCCAGCAAAAACTACTGCTGATCTAACCAGGACCCTGCAGATGGTCAGACAGCACTACCTGTCATGCTGACTCTGCCTTGAGCTTCCAGCTCTTTCTCTCTCCAGGTGTCATATGCTGCATGGTCGCTGCCCAAATGGTACAACATCACGGTTGATAGGGTTAGAAACTGATGTTGCACTTGAGTAAAGTTTTAAATTCTGGGTGATCCTGCGTAAACTGGTCCATGAACAGCTCCAAGAAAAGGCAAGAGACTAGAGCTGCTGCTTCTCTTTTCTGCATCCACTCTTTGAAATCCTAGGAACACTAATAACCTGGGCAATTATTTAATTAATATTTTTTAAAGCATGTGTAATAATTTCCTCCTTATAATTTCTTACCTGCTCAAACAACTCTATGCTATGGAGCTTTAGCTGCTCCCCCCACCCCGTGGACAGCTGTGCCTTCCTCTGGCCTCCCCCGCATGCTGTCTCTGCAGCACGCATTGTGCTTTCTACCACAGTCGGCTGCGTACACGTGTGCCCCTTTCAGGACTTGAGGGTCTGGAGCGCACAGATGCGGTCTTATTCATCTTTGTGTCCTGCTTGGCACCTAGCACAGGGCTTTGCACGTATAGGATTTTGCAGGCTTTTAGGAGGACCTGATAATAGATCAAATGGATATCTACCTGCGTTGTGTTCAGCAACTTCCTTCATCAATGTTTAAGCTTACTTTTGAGAAAAGAGCACAATTCTATTTGATTAGAAGTTAACTATACTTGTATTCATTTTGTGTTTGCTGTGTTTTGATGTTAAGCTTCTATGATGTTAAATTACATAAGTAATCTATGTGACTCCAATACAGAGGCTTTTCACGAGAAAGGAAAAAAAAGGGTAAACTATATATTATTAGTGAACAGTTCAGAAGTATTCCTAAAAAAATATTACTTCAAGGATAAATGGAAAGTCACTATTTCCTTTTTTAAAAAATCAAGGCTTTTGGGTAGGGGATAATCTGTTTGTTAAAACACACATTTTTTATGTCAACTTTTCCTCTTTCCACTCTATTTTACAGAATTTAACAATTCTTATCTTGCCCATTTTTTTCTCTCTCTTAGGGAAAAATACTTCATGTCTTCCTTGATTTTCTTCTTCAAACTTCTGTAAAATGCCTTGAAACCGTTTTGGAAAATCACCCCAAAGGTGAAAGAAAAAACACCAAGTCTCCTTCGTAATTCCTAGAGGAAACAAAACACCACGGCTCATTGGTACTGACCTGCGAACGAATTTGGATGTTATTTTGCTTATTATACCGGTTGACGTTCCCCTCCTGGCGTGTGCGAACGCGCCCGCTTCGTGGGAAGGAGAGGCGGGCGGCCCGTTGTAAGCGGCGCTGCGGCGCTCCCGGAGCTGCTCGCCGTGGAAGGTGCTGCGGCTGGAGCTCCCCCGGGGGAAGCGGGTGCGGTCCGGAGTGGAGGCGCTAATACTGTGAGCAGATGGGGAGGCAGCAGGCGCCCTCTGCGCTGCGCTGTTGGGACAAATCAAGAAACATTACTGAGAAGAATGACAGAGAAAGCTTCCACTCATTCTAAAAACTACCAAAGCAAGACAAAACAAAAAATAAGAACTACCAAATGCCATGGCTACCTTTCCTAGGCCCTATTTTACCTGCTCCCATTAGAGATGCATGCGGGTAACTGTTATTTAAGGGATCACTGTATGGAGAGGGATAATAACATTTCAGTTCGGAACTAAATGCCTTTTACAGAAATACAGTTATTAAAGAGTAAGAAGTTATTGAAACAGGGATACAAACACTCTTCGGAATCAGGAATGCCAAACTGGGGGTGCTACATATATATTTTTTACTATTCTCTTACTTTAAGCCATTCAGCAATGTGGAACATGAATGTTGTTACTCATCAAAAAGCATCTGAATGGAACCACTGCGTATTTACAACGTAGGCCTCAGGGACAGCACGATACTCCGTGACACCACTGATGTGAGTAATAAACCTTTCACTAAAGATGCTTCTGAATTTGAGAAATCCTAACATAGACAAATACTGGAAAAATGGGCATATCACTTTAAACCCAAAAGGGTTCTTCAAGATCATCTGTTTCCCTGATAGAGAAACGAAAAGGCCAATTTCATTAAAAAAAAAAAAAAAAAAAAAAAAAGTAACTGGCAGTAGCCAGGGTTACCCAAAGGTCTCCATTCCCAGTCTCATGTATTTTTGTTTTCACACCATAAAAAATTCAATTTACCTGAATGACAAATTGGGCAGCAATCCTTTATGGATGGGTTTAAAACAAAATCCTTACAGAAAATTCCATTAGAAAATGATTTAAATCATGGGTAACATTTTTGAAAACAGGCAGGGTGTGGTGTGTTTATGTTACAATTCAACTTTTCCCTCTGCTACAGACACTGGATCTTCTCAGAAAGCTCTCGATGTGATGGTGCTTATCATGTATTTTTATATGGTGCTATGTTCTTAAATGAAATGCACCCAGCACGTTACCCGGGCCGGTAAGCTTCAGAGCCGTCTTTAATGGTTGGCAGTGTAACTTTAATAGGATGGCCAGAAGTGGACATGGACTTCTGGTGGCGGGGTCGTGCTGAGGGGACAGCAGAAGCCACAGCAGAGCCTGCAGAAGATATGCTACTTGCGGACATCTCCGTAAGGCTTTCGACAGAAAACAGTTGAGAAGACCATAGAAATGTAAAAGAGAAGAGAAATTGCAGTTTACTAAATTTAAGAAAGAGATTTTTAAAATCTAAATTGACTACACCTTTCATGATTGAGACACTTAAGAGAAATTAACATTAGTGGCATTATTAGTGACTAACAAACCAACAGTCTTGCCAAAAAATGTACAGAGTGAATTTACCACCACCTTCCATGGAAAAGATCCCGCACACGCTTGCTCTATAAATGTGAATCTGAGAAGGTATGAAATTACTTTTACGATCGGAGACCTTTTTCACTTTCCAAAAGACAAAGTTTGGTGTAATGTGTTGCTGTGGTTTATTGTCCCTTATACAGTAAGAATGCATAATTACGACAAAGATACTGTCTCTGGAAACATCATCAAAACACTTTCAGTTCGTATTATTAATCAATCGGTTAACTGTCATAGGTTAAAGAAGCTGCAGATCAGGAGTTGGTATAGGAAAAGTAATAAAGTCAGAAATCAATTCCCAAGTCTTCTTCTAGCCTAAAGGATCTTATGTCCGAGGAAGATACATTTACCTCCGTACGCCTTATAATAACACTTAACTTTGCGTGTCCATTATTTGGGAGGGAACAAATGCTAAGCACAGTCTGTCTGGTCCACTGACATGACGAGGGATGGAGCTAAGAACAGAATTTTACGAGAACAGGCTCCCTGCCCTTTTGTACTATATTGATGAAGAGCCCTTAGAACTCACGATGAAAAGAAGCTAAATTTTTTAAATAATAAAAATAAAATGATTTGTCATTATTTAAAATAAAACATGTTGAGAATTCCATGGTTCTCAATGATCAGTTAAGACGGCCACATTTCTTTAGACGAAGGAAAATAAAACCTTCATGGTTTGGATACAATAATGGCTTGATGGGAGGGGTAAGGGTAAGAAGTGAAGGCTAACTAAAAAAAGTGAAGTAAAAGATAAAAAGGAAGCAGCAAGTATATAATAAGACTCAAATTAAGAAGATCAGATTAGGAAGGTATAACCTGCTTTGTTTGTTACAGGGAAATATTTACTATCAGGTCTTATGCAGCAGTTCTCGGGTTAAGAGATTTACCTCCTGTTTTCCCAAAGCATGCTCCCATCCTTCCATTCTGGTGCAGAAGGGGAGATGCCCTAGTAAGAATGGTTGGTTGCAACTGTACCCTCTAGTAGTCCCTTTGCTCTTGACCCATCGGCTACAGGTGTTCTAGCCAGAGCAGTAACGCACGATGCCAAGGAAGCGGGCACCACGTGGCGTGGTGACACTCACCTGCTGTCTTTGCCATTCTGCAACGCCACGTACCGATCTGCGGTCCTCTCGCACACATACGTGTTCCTTCTTGCCATGCTGCCTCCAGGATATACATTGCTCTTTAAGGAGGAAAAAAAACCCATCTTAAAATTCCAGCTGTATTTGTGGAAAGTCAAAGAAATGAATTTAAGCTGCAAAGGACTTTGAAAAAAAAAAAAAAATCCATGGTGGAATTTTCATTTATCAGACCTTACACGAACAAGCTCCATCTCACATGTCCGTCTCTCAGTTAGACGGCAGGAGTGACAGGCAAAGCATGACAAGCTCATGACAGTTTTAGCTTGCTGTCCTGCAGCCGCAGTGAGCCGTTGTTTGGAAGCAACGAGAAAGCCGGATTTTTATTCCCTCCTCTGCAAGCTGGCGTAGGGAGGAGGGCAGGGGAGTGGTACGGGCAGCTGTACGGGACCAGGAGCGAGAGGCAACTCCACAAGAAGTGTGATCACAGACCAGCAAGCTGTGGTGGTGACCGTGGTGGCCCTGCAGGCCTGCAGGCTGCCATTCTTCACCTGCTCAGGGAACCCCCAGGGCCCATGGTGAGGTTAAGGAGACCAAGTCTCCTGGGCCGGAGGCAGGCCCTGCTGTGGCCACCAACAGAGGGGTGTGCAGGGCCTCAGGATATCCCCGCATCGCAGGTCTCAGCCCGGAGGCAAGCCAAGTCTGAGCGGCTCCGGAGCAAAGAGAACAAGCAAAGGGGGACGGCATCGCCTCATCACGCACACAGCCACTGATCCGTAACCTCTGCTGTGTGCCCGCCAAAGTCTGGACTCGTTACGAGTACTAAACTACGCAGGAATGACTTCCAGAGGGACACATGCTCTTCTGTTGAATTCTTACTCCAATAGAAAAAAAATTCTTTATTTTTGGCTAATCCGGCTTTCACTGTTCTCTAAAATACATAACTAACTTAAACTTTGTTTAAACGTAAGAGCTAGAAAGTTAATAGGTATATGTCTCAACTAAGTTTGGAGGAGCAAAAAAGCCGCATATAAACAAAACTGCTTAAGTGCAGATTTCAAACTTTTCAACGGCACAGGTTCCTGGGTGGAAGGAATTTTGTCACGATTTACATAAAAAACACAAATTAAAAACTATAAAAGTATGGTAGCAGAAAAGAATAAGATTACTAAGAACATTTTTTAGGTAAGACACTGTCCACGTTAAGTGAAGGCAAAGAAGCCGGTTTCATTATGGAGAGATCCATTATGAAACTAGCTTGCATTAAGTTCTTAAAGAACCTTTACTTTTGATAATTTCATCGTTTTGGCTAAACTGTCATATAAGTAATCTAACCGTGAACAAATTCCTGGTCAATTCTTTCTGATCATTTGCAGTAACACACTTTGCTTCTCAAAGTGTGACGGGTGTGACCGGTTTCTCCTTCAAGACTGTGCCTTCTGGGTTTGCCGTCCTCACGCGCCACCTCCCTTCCCTTGTCCCCTGGATGCCAGTGATACTCAGGTGGAGCAGCCCCCCAGGGAAACTGAGGATACGATCATGCAAAAGTTACAGAAATACAGTTTCACTGATCCTATGTGACCGACATGCATCTATAAAATTAATTTTTAGAATTGACCTTCAGTGAGGCTCTGTCTGTTTAGGATTTGGGGACTAGATCTAAAACCACCCTTGCAGACCCCTGAACTCTCAGCTTGGCAACTTCCCTAAAGTGGATATACACGTTTTTCTATATTTTCCAAGAAACCAAGCCTGTGCAGACAACTTCTCTGGGCCTATTTCATACTAAAGTGCTTGTATTTTATATAATTACACTATAATTTTTATGAAAATGTTTTATATTATAATCATTATAGCATTCTCAGCCTTTCTGAGTCTCCCTGAAAGCCGTATCTCCTTCCCCTTGTTTTCTTAAAAAAGATGACTGACAGTATTTTTTACAGGATGCAAAATTTTATATTTTGTATTATTTATATATGTGATAAATAATACTGAAAAACAAATTTACAAGTTTTATTGTCTTTTTGATGAAAGAATAGCATAACATATTTGCATCTTCAAAACTCACCATTTGGCTTCCGAGTTTCTAGGCTAGCCAAAAGCTTACCATTAACTGCTACATGCAAAATTTCTGGAGGGGAATTTCTTAAAGGGAAAAATATTAAGTCTGTTCTTCCTGCATATTACACTTCCATCATTTAGAGTCTGTAATGTTGTAGGGTGAGAACAATAAAACAGATGATTCCAATCACCAACAAATTTCACCAACCATTATATCTATTTAACTACTTAGCCTCAGAACTCTCCCCACTGTCAATATCACCCTAAAGTCATATGGAAGACTCACGTTAAGTCATACTGCCAAGAGAATCATACTTATAAGAGCTTTTACTATTGATTTAAAAAAGCTCCTGATTTTATAAACATTAAAAACACTATTAAACTATATCACCTACTAAATTATCTATGCATCTCAAGGGTATCGTTTATTTTTCCATCAGAAAGTAAAAAGCCATCAGAGGGGAGGTGGGTGGGGGGATGGGTTAAATAGGTGATGGGGATTAAGGGGGGCACTTGTGATGAGCACCAGCTGTCATGTGGAAGTGCTGAATCACTCTATTATACACCCAAAACTAACGGTACACTACACTGTATGAAAACTAACTGGGATTTAAATAAAAACTTAAAAAAAAAAAGTGAAAAGCCATGTCATGTCATTTGAGTGGATTACATATTTTCTATTGTACTTCACTTATAGACAAATAATGGAGTCACTGGTAAAATGTTTATTTTTCCAAATAATATTTTATAATATGACAGAGCCTGGATTATAAATGCTCAAGTTCCTTCCTTCTGGACATTACCTCAAAGAAAAGGGATTAAAGCTGTCTATTTGGCTTTTGTAGTTTGGGGTCAGCACACTTTTTCTGTGAGGAGTCATTTGACTGTCATTTTATGCTCTGCAGGCCACACCATCAATGTCACCCGTAGTCTGGGAAATGCAAATTAAAAACAAAAGGATATACTTTTTTGGTTTTTTGCCCCTCAGGCAAAGATTTTTAAAGATCGATAATATCAAAAAAAAAAAAAAGATCGATAATATCCAGTGGTTGATGAGCTTGTAGAGATATAATTACTCTCTAATTATTCCAACCATTAAAATTACCCTGGCAGTATTTATTAAAAATTTAAATGTGCATATTCCAAGGATACACACACAGCCAGGAGCGTCCATTAGCACACATTAGCACTGGGGCTCTGGAGGGGGGATGGGAGTGAGGATGGAGGCTTACACACGCGTGGGTACCACGTGCTACGAGAAACTGAGGAGTGGGATGAGCCACCTGAGGTTAAACATGTCACCCAGAAACCAAACTTCTGAGAATGTATTTCACAGAAATGCAATAATAACCTAAGTGTACAAGAATGAATATTCTGAAAAGCTGAAAACTCTGAATACCCCGACAAACAGTTGAAAAATTATGACACGTGTCTATTAATACAGATGAAATAATGTGCAGGTCTTAAGACTGTAGTAGATCTAAGAGTTCTGATGTAAAAGGACAAAATAGTATTTTAAGTTAGAAAAATTACAATGTAACAGGTATAGTATGATCTCATTTTTATAAAAAAATAAACCCTGTATGGACATACATATTCATTTATGTTTTCTTTAAAAAGGAGACTCTATAAGGTAATTCATCCCAAATGATAACACTAATTATACTGGAAGTTGAGGATAGAAGGTAAGGGATGAGAAAGGGTAAACAATTAATTTTACTTGAAACACTTTTTTTAAATTTAAAGATTTTATTTTTTTATTTATTTGAGAGCGAGAGAGACAGAAACAGCATGAGAGGGAAGAGGGTCAGAGGGAGAAACAGGCTCCCCGCTGGGCCGGGAGCCCGATGTGGGACTCGATCCCAGGATTCCGGGATCATGACCTGAGCTGAAGGCAGTCGCTTAACCAACTGAGCCACCCAAGCGCCCTACTTGAGACACTTCTGGACTGTTAAAATTAAACATAAACAAGATATATTATTTTGGTTTCTCACATTGTCAAAATTAATATAGAAAATTAAGATAAATTTAGTACTAAGTGGCTCAGAACAAAATTTCTCTACCAGAACTTCTGGCTTATGTCTTTTTTTTTTTTCCTTAAAGATGATAAATACGTGTGGCATGATTAACTGGAATTTAAACCAATGTCTTAGTTTTTATGCCTTCTTTAAATTAATAAATATGCTCGGAATAGCCAGTAAGTGCCTCAGCACTAGTAATTCTGAGGAAGCTGCGTGTCAACTACAAGAGGAGATTATAGATAAGGGGAGATAAGGTTTATGTGGGGAAGCAACAGTGAATGATACAAGACAGCGTACAACTAAGCGCTAAATGACGTAATACAACAATCAGAAAGACTGATGAGATCTGGAGCCTTCAGTCACAGGAGGCTCGACTCAGGAGATGGGGCTTGAAATGATCTGTAGAAATGACATTTTCATAATTTGGGCGGCGGGGGGACCTTCAGACAAGAGCACCACATAAAAACAGGTGTGGAAACAGGCAGCTGAGTATATCCCTGGAAAATAAGATCAGCCTGAGATGAAGGACAGCTTGCTACAGCAAGTGGCAGATAATAGGGGACCAAATTCTTTCTGTTTTGTAGGGTGATCATGCTCCCGAAACTGACCTCTAGCTGATGTTTAGATAAAGGAAAATGATGGCCTGCCTAGGAAAATTACTTTCCCAAATGATATCTTAGACTCTATGACAGTTAAATCATTTCCAAACAGATCAGTTGGCAGCTAAAGGGGTTATACTTACCAGTTCTGAAAATGGGTATGCACACCCATTTCGGAGTCTCGGAGGCGACAATCGAATCACATATTTTAAAAAGATAATGGTTTCAATGAACTACATAAAACAGTGGGTGCTCGGGAGTTTAAATCACTTGCAGTTAAGGTTGTGTTAGGCCTTCTGGTATTTTTTTCCTTCTCTTTTCCTACTTTCCATAGGCTCAATCCATTTTTTTTCTTCTGTTGGTTTAAAAGTTATAAATTCTATTTTTATTCTTACGTTGTTAGCCCTTAAGTCCCTGAACTCATGTTTGCTTAGCACTAGTGAGTTTTTAAACTTACCCAGATCCTCCCATCTTCTGCTGAACAAAGCATGGGCTCTTCTTCCTTTAACCTCCACCCCATCCCTACTTCCTGGATAGTGTCCAGAACATTGGTTCTGAATTTTCATTATTTTTTTTGTGTGTGTATGCTACCATATACATACCTGAATAGTTATCTGATCACTTTCAACTCCATATATTTTATGGCACTACTCCAGATCCATTTCTCTTCCTGTAAGAGTGCAGTGCTCCTCAAACCATACAGTGGTAACAAATGGGTCCCTATGTAACAAGACTGGACATATTTTATGCCTAAGAGTATGCTTATCATACCTTCACATTTAAATGACAATTAGGCAAGATATAAAATTCTGGGTTCAATGTGATTTTCTTTTAGTACTTAAAAAATACTGTTCCACTTATCTCCCTTAATCCACGCTACTGTTGAGAAATTTGAGGTCAGTCTGAATTTTGTTCCTGTTCAGGTCATCTGCTGTCATATCCTGGACATTTTCTAGAAGTTTTCACTTTGTTTTTGGTGTGTATATGTTCCACTTTAATGAGAGCAGAAGTAGGTTTTCCTTCTGGCTTTCTGAGTCTTTCTTACTTACTTACTTACTTATTTATTTATTTATTTATTTATTTGAAAGAGTGAGTGAGTGGGGGCGGGTAGGGGCAGAGAGAGAGAGAGAATCTCAAGCAGACTCCCTGCTGAGTGCAGAGTCTGACGCGGGGCTCAATCTCACGACCCTAAGACCATGACCTGAGCCGAAATCAAGACTTGATGCTTACCAACTGAGCCATCCACATGCCCCTCTGAATCTTTCTAAGTTTTTTCTTCTTTCCTTGTTATTATTTCTTCAAATATTTCTTCCCCTTCACTCTGTGCCCTTTCCCTTCTAAACTTCTGTTATCTAGATGTTTCCAATTCTACTTCTATCCTTAGTATATTTTAGTCTTTTCTTTTATATTTTCTCTTTATTCTTTCCTGCTGTCTTACAAGAGAAGGCTTCAATCTATCTTCTAGCTCCGATTATATAATTTCTACAATTTGCTGTGGTTTTTTTGTTTTTGTGTTTAAGATTTATTTATAATTTGAGAGAGAGAGAGCGTGCGCATGAGCAGGAGAAGGGGCAGAAGCAGAGGGAGAGGGAGAAGCAGACTCCCCACTGAGCAGGGAGCCCGATGTGGGGCTTGATCCCGGGACTCCGGGATCATGATCTGAGCTGAAATCAAGAGTCGGGATGCTCAACCGACTGAACCACCTAGGCGCCCCTAGAGATTTGCTGTTTTAAGTGAATAATGTGAGCTCACTTTATAAATTAATCATTAATGGAGTCTGCCTTCATTGAACCGCTTACCTGTAAATATAAAATTAAGTGCACCAATATAGTTTTAAGTAAATATTAGAAACAGGAAAAATGAGGCAGGAAAGCTTAATGTACCATTTTTATAGTGAGGTTTTTAAATCTTACTTTGAGGTAAGTGTTATTTTAAGAATTCATATTTTATATTTTTGTTCTTAAAACGTAATCATGAGAAGCTTGGCCTCCTTTGCATGTTATTTAAATGTATGACTCACTTTAAAATTTTGAAACGTGTTTTTAGAAAAGGATAAAGTTTTCCAAAGATTGTACAAAAAAAATCTGAAAACAAATAACCACAACAAACTGTGATATACTGGAATATTTACTCACACTTGGAATAGTTGAAGATTTTTTCCTTTCTGGCCCCACAAGAGGGCTTGCAGTCATCTCACTTTTTGATCCAACCGTTGTGCTGCCAAGTTTACGAGCTAGGTCTTTGTCCCACTCCTCTTTCTGCTCACTTTCCACACTGTTAGCCTGAGGCCTTTTGGTATATGATACGGCAGGGGGAATGGATGGACCAGCTATAATAAAATTAAAGAGCATAATTAGATGAAAATCAACTGACACAGTTTCTCCTGACGAACCAAAACTCTAAATTACAAATATCTTTATTTGCGTATTTTATACTCGGAACTAACATTAAACTGTTTGATTACAAAAATTAGGTTAGTCCCTGAAAAGCGGATTTAATATTAATCATGCAATAATATAGATCTGTGATAACAGATGACACAAGCACATAGAGACATGAATGTATAATGCTCAGTAAATACAAGTTTGAGTAGGACTGGTCTGTCTTTTCGCTTGTTTGACTTTTCCCCCACCATGATCACTGAAACGCCGCTGCTTCTGGTTTGCGGAGATGCTCCGCTGGACCTTCAGGTGAGCAGGGGACTGAAGGCTGCTGTTGTTCAGGTCACTGCTGGGCCGTGACCTCTGACACAAGCTTCCGCTCGACAACGATTCACCGCCTTCAAACTATAAGAAGAAGATAGCGCACAAAGATTTCATTTATTTATTTGAGAGAGAGGCAGTGAGTGAGAGCGAGCACGAGTGGGGGGGGGAGGGGCACAGAGAAAGGGAGAAGCAGACTCCCCGCTGAGCAGGGAGCCCAGTCCCAGGACCCTGGCATCATGACCTGAGCAGAAGGCCGGTGCTTAACTGACTGAGCCAGCCAGGCACCCCTGCACAAAGATTTTAAAATAAAAATGTTTATGCAAACAATATGCACTATTGATTGATGTTCTCATCTATTCCAAGCCATATAAAGAGTAATCAGAACTGAAGAAAAAAAAAAAAGTTCGGATACAGAACCGCAAGCTGGCGACCAGGGAGGGAGGGAACCGGCTAAGTGCTTCCATGAGTGCAAGCACTCTTCTGTGATCTCGCACAAATGGCTTTGGAGCCTTAGTTTAGTCAAAACACCAAACAACAGCTACCAATTATTGAATGGTTAGTATATAACCGGCACCCCTGCTAAGGAAGCTCTTCCTATGTGTTACTTTGTTCAGTCATGACAGCAATGCAGCTGTTTATTAACCTCGACTTCACAGATGGAAGGACCGCGGTTAAGAGAATCAAGGGACATCTCTGGGATTCAAACTCAGGATAAAATCTAAAATTGTAACTCCACACACACCTTTTCTTTCTACCATATTTACAGAGCAAAATGTGGTTTATTGGCTCTGATTAAGAAACTGCATCTATTTAGACAAGCATGGTAAATTGGGGGTTCACTATCCCTCTCCTCGAAACACAGAAGATGTTTGTTGCTGGCAAGCTTCTCACTCAATCACTGGCTTCCCAATGGAAAATCTAAATTCATATGTAAAGATACTAATGGCAAACAGCAAAGTAATACTGATGATGAAACTGGTAATAGATCACACAGAACACACAGCAATGTGCCAGGAACTGTTCTAAGCACTGTGGAAATATTAACTCATTTAACCCTCTCGGTGACCCGCAGAGCTAAGTACTACTTACTGTCCCCATTTCATGCACCAGGGATCTGAAGCACAGAGAAATTAAGGCAAGTGCCTAAGCTGCAGTCAGTGGCTGTGCTGGGGTGGAGGAGGGGTGCGGATTCAAACCCGGTGAATCTGGCTCCAAAGTTCAGGCTCTTACTTAGAATAGCCTCATTAGTTCATACTCAATACAAGTCAAACTTCGTTTTAATTCAAGTCTGGGCTGGGTTGTATACTTGTAATGCTAGGGCTTCCTTTATATTTAAATTAATAGGAAAATTAAAGATCTCGGGAGTGAAATCTAAAGGCTAAGTAGAAACACGTCAAAGACTTCAGAAATAACCATTTGTACTATTTCCCACTTCCTAAAATTCTCTTGATTTGGCTTCTTTGATGCCACTTCTCCAACTATTAATGCCTCCACCGAGGTTCCCCTCCTCCTCGTAGGGCCCGCGAGGTGAGATGGGCTCCTGCGGTGAAGTCCTTAGAAGAGCTGCTGGTGCATTAATGGGGTGCTCCTCTCACCACAGCTCCCAACCTATTGATGCTGCCCGAGTCACTCCCTCCAAGCCAAATCTGTATCTCCAAACGTCTCCTGAACAACTCCGCCCAACACGAATCTCAAGTTCAACCATCCCAAATAGAACGAAGTCCCCACCTTCCCCTTGAAATCACACTCTCTCCATATCCTGGCAAATACATCTTACAAAACCAGTCACTTATGCTGGAAAGCTGAGGGTCTCTCACATCCTCATTTCCAACGGGTTACCATGGCCTGTTACATCTAGCTGCTGTGGGTGCCTGTCCTCCTGTGTGTCCCAGAGTCCCTGTGCCTGCCCTGGTCAGGGCGGCAGCACCCTGCACCACACCGCTGACTGCGCATCTCCCCTCCAGACCCAGGGCTCCATGAGAGCACAGACTTTCTCAGCTTCCTGGTCGCAGTACACAGCATAGTTTCCAGGGCAGGAAAGATTCAATAAATGTCAGCTGAATGTACTGCTTCACTAACTATCTAATTAAAAATAATTTCAGTCTATTCTATAAAATGCCTCCCACAGATGTCTAATTGTTAACAAACTGTCCATGTGCTCAGCTCTATTCTTGACTCTCGGTTTATACCTTTATATTTGCTCTCCCAAAGGATCATTTGCTTTTGTGGTTCAACCATTATCTGTACACAGTTATTTCCTGAATCTATCTCCTTATTATACATCTCTCCTGGCCTTGAGAATTCCCAACTGCTAAGCATCAAAACCTCTTGATGTTCTACCAGGCAAAATATCACCAAACAGCCTCTTCCTATTCCCATCTTTTTAAATCACTTCAGATATATGTTTTGTTTTACATGCTGTCCCTTTCTCTGTTTAGGTCACTGTGCTTTCTGCACACCCAGAATGACCACGTTACCTTTGGCAGGCCTGCTGCTTTTGGAGACACAACTCTGGGGGAGCTCCTTCTCAAAGACTAGACTGAGTGTGCCTCTCCGAGCTAAGCAAGGCACCTGGTCTGCTCTTTCATAGCAGAATCTCGCCTGGTACTTGGAAATGAAACCAGCTCATAACTTAGCATCTTGAGTTTGAATTCTAAAAGTAAGAATGTTAGGGTCTTTATATTACTTTTGATACCGCACAGAATAAAGGTGCTAAAAGCTAACATTTTATCTTAGCTGTCACTTGTCTCAAGAAATAATTAACATTCATCTAAAAAGGTAAAGAACTTACTTCAGGTGGTTTTCTACCTAGAAGAATATAAGTAGCCATAACTTCATCGTATTTCTGATTTATTAAGGCGTCATTTATCTCATCTCGTGCAAAACCCATGGTGACCATGATGTCTAGGAATAAAAAAAAAAGCAAAATTTTCTGAAAATGGGTTTATTTTCGCAAACAAACCAACAACTGTAAGCAAGCCTGCCAACATGAAATATGAAAACTAAATTCTGAAATGTTATAGTATAATGTTAACTATAAAAACTTCTGGATTATTAATATATAGATACTGCATATTTAGATCCTATACATTGACAATTTTTCATGCAGACACTATCCGTACCATGGGATCCATACTCAGGCGCCTAGTCCGTTTCTCAGCACCTAACGCATTCCTGAGTTGAATGCCTTTGTCCAGCCAGAGACACACCATCTGTGACACCCACAAAATCCCTTCTCTTTTTCTCTATCTCTTAACACACTCTCACCACGCACAGAGTGGTTTCTCTCATCTCTTAACAATTTCTGCCTTCTGATCTGAAGGCAGGTTGACTCTTCTTTGGAAGGCCTGTAATGCTTGTTCTTATTGGATTCCAAACACCCTAGAATAGTGAGACCTCGCTGGCCCCTCTGCTCTCAAGTCAGAGAGGGGCACAGCGGAGATGACTCACTTGTGAGTCTCTGATGGCTTTGGTAATGGAGAGAGAAACGCAGAGAACAGGCTGGAAGCAGAGTGCTGCTGGGTGTGGGAGGAAGCACCTTGCCCAGACACTGGAAAACTGAAAGGGAGAGCCAAAGTGTTCATCCCTTCAGCTTAAGTGCCTCCACACTTTCAGCTAAAATACATGCTATATGTTGCTGATACTTAACAGTCTGACCAGTGCTGATACTTAAACCAGTCATTCCTCCTTTTAGGGACTACTGAAAGAAAAGAATGAGGTTCATCTACGTTATTTTAATTTTTATATTACTGTTGCCAACAACTGAATTAGATCATAGTATACATGCGGATAAACTTGAAATCTGTAATGTTTGGTGTATATTGATGGAAAGAAAAGATGACAATGCAAGTATTTTTCAAATAAAAATTGTTTCTTATTTATATTTTTAAACACTATTTTGGCAGATGACAGGTCTCTTATAGTGGAGGGCCAGCACATCTCACGGTGTTTAAATACTTACCTATTCTTTTCGCGTCATTGAAATCTGGTTCAGGCTCACTATATGGCTTTAGCTCTTCTTCCTCATGACCAACATTCATCCACCGATCTTTCATTATTTGCTAGGAAATAAACTTTACATTATGTTTGGCCAATCAGAACATTCCACCACTTATTTTAGCTCTATTTTAGTAAATGTGAAATTTACTGGTTTACTCAACAAGTATCATGATGTCTTCTATCTAAAGTTAGTGTCCAGTTTGATTAGCAGGCCAACAAGAGGCAAAGGACTTTGGGACACACTTACATAACTTATGACAACTACAACTATCATCCTGCACACTCACCGAATGTATCCATTCAAAATAGCTTGCTGCCCATAGTCCTCTAAAAGGACTGTCTTCTCATTTAAAAGTTTTAAACCTAAGGACCTACTGATTTCAACCTCTCCTTCATAGTATTACATTTAGAAGAGACTGTCTCTTTTTCCTGGTCTTTTACCAAATATATGTATACCTGTATTTTAAAATCACCATTTGTTAAAACATTAGGAAAGCGGAGATCGTGGGGCATAGAAATCAGGGTTAGTCAGTAAAGGCAGCTCAGATAATACGGAAGGGAAGAATGGTCAAAATGGAAGCCTAGAGACAGGGATGAGCAAGAATCAGGATAAAGACAGGGACTGGTGTGAATTACCAGAGTCAAACTTAAGTGAGGCTGTTGAAACAAGAGTCCCGGGTTGTTAAAAGGGAACCTAGTGGGAGCACCCAATGGTACGGGAAAATAGTCACAACCTAGTGGGGGCATCCTATGGAACGGGAAAATATTCACAACTGTATATCTGATAAGGGGTTAATATTCACAATACATACAAGAAATCCTACAACTCAGTAACAACAAAAACTGCCTGATTGAGGAAAGGGCAAAGAACTTGAACAGGTTTTTCTCCAAAAGAATATATGCCAAGGGCCAGCAAGCATATGAAAAGATGCTAACGTCACTAATCATCAGGGAAATAAAAACCATGATGAGGTATCACCTCCTTATCTGTTAGGATGGCTACTATCAAAAAAGATGAAAATAACAAGCATGGGTGAGCATGTGGAGAACCCGGACCCCCTATGCACTGTTGGGGTGACAGTAAAAAGGTGTCGCTGCTACGGTAAACAGTACGGAGGTTCCTCAAAACATTTAACAGTAGAACTACAGATATGATCTAGTAATTCCATCTCTGGGAATATATCCAAAAGAACTGAAACAGGATCTTGAAGGGTATTTGCACACCCATGTTCATCGCAACATAACTCACAATAGCCAAGATGTGGAACAACCTAAATGTCTGATGGATGAATGCATAAAGAAAATGTATCTACACACAATGGAATGTTATTCAGCCTTAAAAAGAAGGCAATCCATATGCTATATTGTGGATGAAACTTGAGGACACTTCTCAGTGAAATAAGCCAGCCACAAAAAGACAGATGATCATTATATGAGGGTATCTAAGGTAGTCAAAGTTCTAGCAACGGGCAGTAGAATGGTGTTTGCCAGGGGCTGGGAGAGGGGGTAACAGGGAGCTGTTCGATGGTACAGAGTCTCACTCATGTAAGGGGGACAAGTTCCAGAGATCTGCTGTCCAACAATGTACACAGAGGTCACAACACTGTAATGTATTCTTAAAATTGTAAAGAGTATACATTTATGTGTTTTTTTACTACACACACAAAAAAGCAACTAGTGGGGAATAATTCTGGGGAAATGATCCTGTATTAATTTAGAAAAATTTCTAACATTTTATTACTATTGAATTCTAGGTTTTCATTCAGGAACATTTTAGGTGTTGATATATTAATACTCTTTTTCCAGGCCCTGCAAAGTATACTCTCCATCTTGTAACTTTACTTGCCAATATTCTTCTAATCAGAAAAATAAAATTCCATATAGAGATCCTTTTGAGGCTAATTGTTTGCCCAGATACCTTCCCTTTATTTAATAATATTTAGCTAAAATCATTCACTAGAAGACAGAACGCCAGAGCAGGCCTCTAAGAACTGGAATCTATAAGAATACCGCTGTTCTGGCTCGGAGGAATTTTCCAAAGGTTTTGGTCACATGATACATATTTCAATGCAAATCTGTAGATAATTCATATATGCTTAAAATTATGCAGACATGTAACTCTTCACAGATCACCACTAACTTTCTTCTTCCTTTTCCCCATTTTATTGAGATGTAACTCCACTTCTGAGCATATACCCAAAGGAAACAAAAATCACTATTTTGAAGAGATATCTGCACCCCTATGTTCACTTCAGCATCACTTACAATACCCAAGACACGCAATCTAAGTGTCCACTGGCAGATGAATGGATAAAAATATATGATATATATTCACATCAGAAATTTAAGTACCTTATCCAGCACATTTAAATAAAAGTAGACCCATTTATAAACTTGAAAAACAATAATGCTGTCACTAAGTCTTTAGTGATTATTCATAAATAAGGGAAAAGTGTTGGGGAGGGTACCCAACAGGAAAAAAATAAAAAGGAAAGAAGCAGAGCTGCCAACACCAGCTACATGATTTCCCAAAATATTAAGGTCCTTCCTGTTCCTCATCTCCCCCTTCTCAAATAGTATGTCTGGCAGAAGCCTAGACAGCAGTTGGGCCCTAGTATCTGCAGAAGTAAAACTCTGCTGTTGGTAGAATTTCCTAGGTTGGAAGGAGAATACATAATAAAAATCCTCAGAGAATACAAGGGACCACGTCAGGACAGCTCCACAGCACATGCAATCCCGCCTGCACTTTGCAAGCTCTAATCCAGCCTCCTACTCCCCGACACCGAGTGACTCACTTCCACAGCTGGCGCACGGAGGGGGCAGCACAAGAAGCTGAAGCTTAAAAATGAAAGCCTTTAAACATGTTTAAAATAAACAGGACCAACCCCACCTCTCTCCACACACATGTGCTTGCGCACACACACATAACGTGTGCTCACATGTGGGCACACGTGTATGCATGCGCACACCCCCCCCAATACAAAGAAGTCTAACTGTCCTTTCATCAAAACATTACTTTTTAATGGGAATTCTCTGCATGTTTTTTGATATTATGATGAATGAGGCCGGGCAAAGAAGAAAATGAACATAAGCTAGACCTAAATACTTCTGGTTTTTCAAGTGAACTCAAATTAAGTCCTCAGTGATGTTCTCAAGTTTAAGATGAAATGTTAAGAGTCTGAAAATAGTAACTAATGGAGTGAGATTTATAAACAGTCAAATCTTCGGTAAGAGGAAGTTAGATTCTGGAAGAATAAGAGTTCATCATGCAACAAGGAACTGGAAGGGAGAGCGCGAGCAAGCGACCCAGGCAGAGGGCACGGTGGGTGTGAAGAGGCCCAAGGGCAAACAACGGTGGCGCCTGTCTGGGGGACAGCAAGTTCCATATGACCGGAGTGTCCGGTGTGAGATGGGTGGTGAGGCAAGATGAGGGGAGAAAATTAATAGGGACCGGACCGAGAGGGTTTCTTTCAATCACGTGAGGGACATCTTTGGGGAGTATGATTCTGAAGTCTCTCCGGCCAGTGTGCAGACAGCGGGTTGGAGGGGTTCACGACTGGAGGCCCAGAAATCAGTAAAGAGGCTTTAGTGAGAATCTAGGAGAGATGATGCTAGTCTGAATGAAATGAGGCAGTGGCAATGGGAAAAGAGACATTTTCAATATTTGGCTGGTAAAAATCAACAAAACTTTGTGAATGGATACGCAGGGGTATGAAGAGGTGAGACAATTCAGAGAAAGTGAAGACGGTGTCCAGGTTCCTGGTGTAGACAGCTGAGTAGGAGGGGTTGACACCATTTATTGAGAAAGCCAACTCAGAAAGAGGAGGCTGGATGGGGAAGCACGCAGCTGAGTTTTGGAGCAGCTGAGTTTGAGGTGCTACGGGTTATTCAAATAAAGACCCATTCTGTAAACTCCAGGGAACTCCAGGGAACTCCAGGGAAATCTGGGCTGGGGACGGAGATTCAGGAACGGCCAACACAGGATGACAGAAGCTGTAAAGCGGGTGGGATTTTCCAGGAATACCAAATAGACTCGGAATGAGTAGAAGAGGGGCCATGGCAGAGCCCCACTTAAGGGTTAGAAAGAAAAGTAGCCCACAAAGCAAATGGAGGCAGAAAATCTGCACAGTGTGACCTGGGAGGCAAGGCAAGAGTTTTTGAAAGAGCACACAGTGTTGTCCTGCAAAGAAGGTGACCACTAAATCAGTAATTGGTTGTGTTGAGGAGCAAAGACAGGTGGCTTCGCTGGGGGCAGTTGCAGGGGAGTAGCGGGGCTGGGAGTCAGAAGGCAGTGCGAGGACAAACAACACACAGGCGGGGAACTGCTGACTGTAAGCGGAGATGCTTCTTTAAAATCAGGCCGGGGGTGCCTGGGGGGCTCAGTCGGTTAAGCATCTGCCTTCGTCTCAGGTCATGACCCCAGGGTCCTGGGATGGAGCCCCGCATTGGGCTCCCTGCTCAGAGGGAAGCCTGCTTCTCCCTCTCCCCTCCTTGTGCTCTCTCTTTCTCTCAGATAAATAAATTAAAAAATCTTTAAAAAAAAAAAAAAAAGTCAGGCCAGAAAGGGAGGAACAAGAAGGGATACAAGACAACAACTGCAGGGTTGAAGGGTGCCTTTGTCTAAAATGGAAGATATATGTACAAAAGCTAAGAGATAAAGGTGTCAGCAGAGAGGAGGTGGGACGGTACAGAAGAGGGAGCTTTTCTGAAGGAGATACTGAGACAGCACAGATGTATCTCCCAAACTACAGTTAGAGTCCTTGAGGATAAAGACTGTGCCTTGCGCTATCTTTCCCAACACACGTTTGTTGTTGCTTTTGAACTGGGCAGTATTTTAAAATAAGGCTGCTACAGAAGCCCCGGGTACAGTGAAGTGTTGAGAGGAGCTTAGCAATGAAGATGGCTAAGGAAGATGCTAGAATGTCCAGGAGACAGACAACCTCAGGCTGCGCTGGGCATGAGGAAATGGAAGGAAAACCTAGAGGTATAATCCGAAGCACTTGATGACAGAATTTGTTCTGGGAATGAGGGAAAGAAAGGCTGGAATCCAAGAGGGTTCTAA